ATTGGGAAATGGAAGGTAATTTCCCCAATCAACATTTGGACGAGGAACCAAACAATCAAGCAAAGGCATTTTATGACTTGCTTCATGCATCTACAATTCCCCTTGGTAGTGCTAAAAGAAATGAGACAATGCTTAGCTGGTTTTCTTATATGTTGCATACAAAGACTGCAAATAATATAAATGCTAATGGTTTTAATGCCATTCTCAAATGATGTAGAAGGTTGTTAAGTGCTGAAGATCAAGAAAAAGTTCCTTCAAACTTTTATGAAGTAAAAAAATATATGAAGGGGCTTAGGTTAGGTTATCTAAAAATTGATGCTTGTGTTAATAACTGCTTTTTATACTATGGGGAGCATATGAAAACATTGACTACATGTCTTATCTGTGGAGAAGCGAGGTATAAACAGAGAAATGCAGGGAGGAATAGACAAAAGGACATGCCGAGGAATTCTCTTTGGTACTTGCCAATAATACCTCGCCTTCAGAAGCTATACATGTCTCGAAAAATAGTTGAGCACATGACATGGCATTTGAAATGTTGTGGTGATACGGATGAGGTCATTCATCCAGCACAATCAGAAGCATGGAGACATTTTGATCAAATGCATCCTTTTTTTAAAAGAGAACCTCATAATGTTCGATTAGGTCTTGCTACTGATGGTTTCAACCCATGGGCTCATTCTTCAACCTCCTACTCTTGTTGGCTAGTTTTTTTAATTGTTTATAATTTACCACCAGAGATGTGCATGCGACCAGAGTTTACTTTTCTTACATTGGTCATTGCTAGTCCAAAAAGCCCAGGCAAAAATATTGATGTTTTCCTTCGACCTTTAATTGAAGACTTGAAAATGTTATGGTCGACTGGTGTAGAAACATATGATAGTTATCGTAAGCAAAACTTTATAATGCGGGCTATGTTGATGTGGACCATAACTGATTTTCCGGGTTATGGTATGGTGGCTGGTTGGAGCACTCATGGCCAACTGTCATGTCCTTACTGTATGGAGATGACACAATCTTTTTATCTTCAAAATGGTCGGAAACCATTTTTTTTTATTGTCATCGTCAGTTTTTACCAGAATCACATTGTTTCAGATTTGATCAAAGTAATTTCTTGAAGGGTCAGGTTGAATTAGGCAGTCCCCCTCCTCGATTGGATGGTGTTTCAATGCGCCACCGAGTTGAAAACCTTCCTGATGTGTTGTTTGGGAAACCTTTTGAAAACCAAACAATTGAGGGTTTTGGGAACATCCATAATTGGGTGAAAAGGTGCATTTTTTGGGAACTTCCTTATTGGCATGATAATCTTATTCGACATAATCTTCATGTAATGCACTGTGAGAAAAATTTCTTTGATAATATAATACACACTGTTATGAATGACAATAAGACAAAAGACAATGGGAAAGCAAGATTGGAT